CTATGTTCCTTTGGGTAACACAGTACTTTTTTGAATCCATTTTTAGGCCACCAAAGATGCTGGTCAAATCGCTGGTCTAAATGTTTTAAGAGTAATTAATGAACCAACGGCAGCAGCTCTGGCTTATGGAATGGACAAGACAGAAGATAAAATGTAAGTCTATTTCTAAGTAATAAACTTTACTTGATGCAAGTTCTAAACTTTTCAGTCTTTCAATTATTGGACTGTGGTTATACTCACAAAACTTAGCTAGTTCAATTTTTCTTACTTGCCAAATACAAACTAGCATTTTGCAAGTTTTCAAGCTTTAATTTTGTGCCCTGACTAGTGGACTAGTCTACTGTAAGACTAGTAAAGCTTTGCTCCAAGCTAGTGAAAATAAGGACTCACTAGCCCATAGACTAGTGGGGTTTTTGAATTAGGCCAAACAAAAAATAAATAAGTGTGTTTCCTGTTGCATGAGAAAAATAATTAGGGTCAGTAGGTCGGGTTTTTTTTACTGATACAACAGTGGAAATGAGTTTACTGGGAACACTGTGGTGCATTTGGGAATGAAAAAAATATTAGGATCGGCAAAAATCAGCAAGGAAATTATTTTTTTGTTTGGCCTTACTAATTATCTGGGCTAGTAAATTACTCTGCTACTTACTGGATTTATAGACTTAATAGTCCATTGCCTAGTATCTGAAAAAGTTAGTGTCAAGCACTGGCAGTTATTTTGGTTCACAGTAAGAAAATCTCTACAGGGCTTACAGTGATGACACTTGACTGATGACTGAACKAAAACTAAAACTGTCATCATGACAAGCAACTGACCAATCATTATTTTTTGCACTGTGTAGACTGGGTGTTTTGTTGGTTATATAGAGCAGTGTTCTTACCAGGAATTTCTTTCAGGGGGTCAAAGGGCCCATCAATCCGAAATTTAGGGGCCATTTAGAAAACTGGATGGGCCATTTCCAAAATCTTAAAACAACGAATTATGTTTATAGCCAGTAGCTCTGTTGCAAATCTACAACAATGTAAGACAGTTTTATTAGTAATGACAACACAATAAAATTTCGCTGGGCAGCCATACTTGAGCCTTCAATAAACAAGGTCAGTGAACACAGACTAATCCCAGACCTCTTGGCGAGTGAAATACAAGATGGCGGCTATGTTCGATTTGTGGCGTTTCATGTGGACTTTTACCTTGTTTATCAACAATATAATGCGACTTTTATTATTTTAAAAGTACTATAAATCTTTTAAAACTATCAGGAAGTATTCTTTGGATAATTCGTGCACCCTTGGGGGCGCATAGAGTTGACATTTGTGCGCCATTTCTGATTTTTATGCGTGAATCCCGCAATGGCRCGGCCTGGTAAGAACACTGATAGAGTAGTTTTCATTAACCCATGAAACAAGTGTGCTAATTAAAGTGTAATAGTCAGATAAACACAATAGAAAACGAAAGAATTAGAGTGAAAGACCAAACAAAAAAATTAGTGTGTTTCCTTTTGCATGAGAAAAATAATTGGGGTCAGTAGATCGAATCTTTTTACTGATACAACAGTGGAAATGAGCTTACTGGGAACCCCGTGGTGCATTTGGGAATGAAAAAATATTAGGGTTGGGAAAAATTTGCAAGAAAATCACAGTCGGTCACGAAACAGGAGAGACATTTTTTTTGGGCCTAAGGTTTACACCTGTGTTTCAGGGGTTTATGAAAACCACTCTTCCACCAAGATTATTCAGAACAATAAAACATTCTTATTACTCACTCTATAAAATATGTTTATGCCTGTTTTATCATTGCCTTGATAGTATTGCTGTGTACGATCTTGGTGGTGGAACATTTGATATCTCAATCCTTGAAATCCAGAAAGGTGTCTTTGAAGTCAAAGCAACTAATGGCGACACGTACCTTGGTGGAGAGGACTTTGATAATACCCTCCTAACATTCCTGATCTCTGAGTTCAAGAAAGAGGTAAAGATTTAAACCCAAGTTAGAAGCCTTCTAATATCTAGACCCCTTTCAGGATACAGTCGAAAACTTCTTGAATTTAATTCACTTTTTCAAGGGTGCTTGAAAATTGAATTTTTGCTTTGATCATTACTTGCATGGTTCTGAAATAGATCTGGTCAGAGAGACCAGAAAATCTGAAAGTCGGCCATGTGCAACCACCGTGTAAAACCTTGGCATAGTTAGCTGAACATACTCCTTGAAAATTCATTTTGGGTCCTTGTATACTCCTTGAATAGTCCTTGAATTTTAAGTGGTTACCTCAGCACGAACCCTGTCAAAGAGCCCATTAGGGGAGTGATAGTTGAAACTAGGTGTTATATGTGTACTGTACCTCTATCACAAGAGGGGGAAATGATTTTTGTGTGTACTTAATCAGCATTTAGAGATGGTGACAGTGCATTTCACCCACTACAGTACCTTAGAAATTTGATTGATTGATATGAACACTCAGTTATCTCTGGTGCATATTTAATTTTGCTATGATTATTTCTTTGTATTTCCTTTCAGAGTGGAGTTGACCTTTCTAAAGACAGCATGGCTCTTCAGAGGCTTAGAGAGGCTGCTGAAAAAGCTAAAATAGAGTTGTCATCCTCAGTACAGGTAATTTGGTTCTCTAAAATGGGATGATTAAAGTAAATTAAAATATAAATGTATTGTCTTTGTCTTGTGAA